TTCCGATCTTCAGGCCAGTCCTATGGGCCAGAGGCTGAATGGCGCCGTTGGTAGTGGGCCCGTTGGTGGTAACAATGGTGGCGGCTCCTATTTGAAAGCCTGGCGGAAGAGCTCCGTCTTGCAGGCCCTGCGGAACTGTGAAAGTTTGCCCAGGGCACCCAAAAAACCTTGGGCCAGTCACCCTACCGAGTAAACTTGGACTTGTGGGCCACTATACCGGAAAAGGTTGGGAGCCACTGATCTAAAGGATCTTGGCTCCTCAGTGGCTAACTCCACTCCTCCCCCTTCCCATCTTTGCAGGGAGATGCGCTGGAACAAAGGAACCATTCTCAAGGCTTCGGTGGATTACATCCGGAAACTGCAGAAGGAGCAGCAGCGCTCGAAAGAAATGGAGATCAGGCAGCGTAAGCTGGAGCAGGCCAATCGCAGCTTGCAGCTGAGAGTGCAGGTAAGCGGGGCGGGGTGGTGAAGGCGGCCAGGCATGCTTGTGGCTGAGAGCACAGGAAAGCAGGGGGTGGGTTGGTGAAGGCGGCCAGGGGGTGGTGCAGGGGAGCCAGGAATGCTTGCAGCTGAGAGTGCAGGTAAGCAGGGGTGATGGCGAAGGTGGCCAGGGGGTGGTGAATGTGGCCAGGCATGCTTCAAGTGGATCTCACTTGCCTGCCTCTGTTCCCTTCCCCAGGAGCTGGAACTCCAGGTCCAGATGCACGGGCTGCCTCTGACTTCCACCCCGGGTCTCCTGACGCAGCCCTTGGCGGGGGACCTGGCTCCACCGTTTGCGGAGTCTCTGGACCTGCCCTTCACGGCCGAGGAGCTGGGTCTGGGTCTCGCGCTGGGCTCCGATGGGGGAGGCCTGCAGGACGTGCTGATGGACGAGGGGGCCACCCTCTCCCCGCTGGGCGCCTCGGATCCCTTGCTCTCGTCCATCTCGCCCGGCGCCTCCAAGGGCAGCAGCCGCCGCTCCAGCTTCAGCATGGAAGACGACTCATGATGGTCGCCTCGGGACACTCGGCAGCGGGTCCGGAGGGCTCCGCCCCTTCACATTGCCCCGCCCCTTCGCTCGGACTCTTCCTCTTCACCCACTTCCGGTTTTGGAGTCTCTCCGCCCCTCCGCTGCTAGAGGCTGTGCCCTTATTGCAGCAGCAGCAGCAGCAGGGCCTTCTCTCACCAACAGTCTGTATCTCTTTGCCTTGCCGAGTTCCCCTTTGACCCTTCCCCAATGGAGGTGGATCTAATTTCCTCTCGCGGCAGAGCAGGGCAGCTTAGCGCTGAACTTTCCTCAGAGTAGTAGAAATACGTTTTCCCGTGGCGGGTGGGACTTGAGTCTAGTCTGCCCTCAAGCTCAGAAAGAAGGGGAATCGTGGGCTTGTGCATTCCCTCAAGCCTGCCCTGTCGGGAACCTTGGGCAGAGCCTTTCCGTAACACTGTGTGAAAGAGTGAGGTGTTCACTCTTGCCCTCGGCTTTATTTCTCTTGCACCTTTGCTGTATATAATTTTGGGGAATCGAGGCTGGGAGGGAGAGAAAGTGTCCCTTGGAGTTCAGAGTCCCCCCTCCTTTTTTGTGTGTGTAAATGAGCTTTATTTTATATAGATATTGGACTTTTTATTATAAACCCTTGGCCTTTTTATCGGTTTAAACGAGAAGGAAGGGTTTCAAGGTTCTCACCAGCTTGGCACTTTAACTTTTTACTTTATCATTCCACTCCCTCCTCCAGTTCAGACCTGACGTTGTCCCTCGTTTCTTTGGGCAGGCGTGGCGGGGAGGCGCAAGGAGAAAAGCAGACGATTGCGTCTCTAGCGCTGGCTCGCGTGGTCATCGGAGGGCGCGATCCTATACAGTCGTTCCAGTTTAAGCCTCCCGATTTCTGAGGGCTAACGCCGGAGTAACTCTGTGTAGAAACACAGCGTAGGAACAAGAAGACTTGAGTAGCAACCTCTCTCGGTTTTCTTTTTTTAATGATAAATGAACATAATCAAGGTTCTATTTAAAGGGTTTTTCTGCATAAACGGGGCTTCAGGTGGGAACACGGAGAGAAAGAGCATATAGTGTCAATTGACTCTGCTAGTAACACATTCTTTGAGTGGGAGGGTGGTCATAACTACCACGGAGACAATCACGCTGGCCGTAGAGTGCGCTTCCAACAACCACCTGTGTAGGTCCCAACCATGAACAGTCATCCTAGAGTGGTCCAG